AAATAATCATACAAAATCATTTTCTGTAATGAAAACAAACTGCTAGTAATGTTGGAAAAGTTATGTCTTGGTTTCATTTACACTCATCTGGTTCCTTGATTTCGGCTTTTGCTAATAATTATAAGCGAAGCGAATATTACCTGATGTAATAGTGGTTATTGAACATTTTTTTTTTTTTTTTTTTTTTTTTTTTTATATTTTACATAATCACTGTTATAAGAAACCTATCAAAATTTACAGAGTACTCTTCTAAACTTTGGTCGGGACACCTCTTCTTATGTGTTCTGCTTGCAAACTAAACTTTTCATTTGGCACATGGGCTCTCAAAAAGGTTGATGACAGGGAAGGAGAACTGGGAGATCCTCGAACCTGTTCACCAAGGTGCTGTCCTTCAACATTGGCAGAACTGAGCAAAGTCGGACTGTAACCTGAACGGTGTTCAAGGCTCTGGCCAGCGGCAAACGCAATCTAGTACTTCTTGCCACTATAATAATTCCAGGATTTGTTCTGATTCAGATAAATGAGATTAGTAACCGCAACAACAACAACAATAGTCGCTAGAAAATAATGGCAGATAGCATTAGCAGAACATTGCTGAGTAAAATATGATTAGTAAACTTTCAAAATGGTGTGAAAGAGTGACTGTGAAGAGAAGTCTAACGAATTTGATCTGAGACTCGCAATTAGTTTAGATGGTGAAAAACCTGTTTTTGCATAGCTCAAGTTTTGTTGCTATAAGTTCGTATATAGAAGATATCTTTCATATCTATATCAGATGAGTAGGAAGAAAGGGACACTTTACTAAAGTAAATAGCTGTGACTAACTCAGCTTATAAGCAAAGAAACGAGCTATGAATAATTAGAGGAAAGCAACAGAACCTTCATTTCGTCGGCAATTGTAGCAACAATTGCTGCCAACATTGCACAGCAGGGTGTGTACGCAGCAGGGGGCGATCTATTGCTCGGTATGACCACCCAGCTTCACGCTACCCTACAATGCGACCATGTTCGAAGTCGTTTAATTGTCTGTAAGGTCTTCGATATCGTCCTAATGCCATCTTTAGTTGCTTCGTTAGGAATTACAATGGCAGCAACAAAAAAAGATAAATTTTCCGCCTCTGTTACTTCTTTTTGCGAATCGTTCACTAAAAATGCCTGCTATGATAGCATTTCCTGTTCATTTACCTAGAAACTTTGATCATTTACATGTTCGACCAAGATGTTTTTGCTTACCAAATTTCGTTACGATTGTAAAAGTCCTTCTTGGTGCTCCGATTGTTTCGCAAAAGAGTGTATATGTGGGTAAATTATTATTAATTGTAACTATTCTATAGTTCAACTTTCTAATTTAATTTATCTGTAATTGGTTAATAAACGGAGTAATTTTTAAAAGATTTCCTAATAGATAACATACTAATTTTATTTTTCATTAATATAACTAACTCATGTGAATTATAATACATGACAGTTGTTGTAATTACTAAAAGATGTTTGTAACGGCATATACTACGTGCTTGCTATATTAGCATTTTTCCCCTTACACATGAATGCAGAAATTATAGCATCCAAAAGCTCCCGTAAATGGTGCTCTTTCTATTGATATCCAAAATCGGAATATCTGAGAGGCTTTAGCAATTGTAACAGTCTTAAAATTGATTATTTTATGTACCACTATTTTCTGAATGATAATTTGATTACTCCACCAAACTAAACAAAACTCTTCTTCCCTCAAAGCAAAAGAAGAGAAAAATAATTGTGTGTTTTCCAAAGCTAAAAACTCCTAACTGTGTGCTTTATATATATATTTTATTCTTCTTTCTTCATTTTGTAATTTTCCGTTCTCATTTGTACTTCCAAATTGATATAATTTAATTCTGATGTTGTTTTTAATTTTCTCCGAGGAACTTATACATAGAAATGAAAACTTTGTATGCAATTTCTTTCCTTTCTCGCAAAAACAAAATTAATTTCTGAGTTGATTCATTAATATAATTGCATCTTTTCCTATTTTACGTGTTTTAGTGATTTGTTTTTCCAGCTTGTCTCTTATTTCTTTTCTGAATAAAAATAATTTTGTGCATCAAGGAATTAGAAAAAAAAATACTACAAATTACTTTCTCTGAGTTCCGGGAATATTGTTTTTATTATTCATTTCAATGCAGTGTTTAGTTCCATAGGCACAGGTAAAATTAAAACGTGAATATGAAAATAATGGAGTTTGCTAAGGATTTGATTTTGACAAGTACTGTCAAGAAGTCAATTTAAATTAATTTGTTTGACAGTGAAACACTTTTTTGAAATACATTTCAGTAGTTTCACTTTTTTCCTCCAAAAGATGCTTTAAACTTAGGTATGTTTTTGAAATAAAGAAGTAAATATAATTGTTTTTATAATCTTGTTGATTATAGTTGCTTTAATTATTGTATTTCCAAGTGAAAATACTAAATAAATATATTTTTAAGAATGTTATGGGTGCTTTATTATAGTAAATCCGACATGATTATTCCAAACGGTAATAAAACACCAATGGCTACCTCTAAGTGGTCGAGTGTTTACGAAGATTTAACCCTCCGCGTTCGGCGCGATTTAGACATACTCCGATTCTGAAATACAAGTTTTATTTATATATACATTCTATATTTTTATATATTACTATTCAGATCTTTATAAACAATAATGCAGAAATTTTAATATTTTTTTTTAATTTAAAAAAAGAATACAATACGGCTCACGCAATTTTAGCGTTCAAGGAATAAAAGTATAAAAATGTAAATTATAGTACTCTCTTACGATGTTATAAACCTGTAGTGCCATCTAGGAACAAAACAAAACGTAAAATATGAATATTACAATATTCTTAGCCTACACGGAGAAAAAGCGAGATCCGTATTGAAAATAAGAGAAATAAACTTACGCACACTATTTTCACGTGACCCGTATTACGAGACGGATTTCGTATCCCGTGAAAATCGCTGGTGCCGTACGCGGAGGGTTAATGGAATAACAGCGCGTAACGGAGTTAAATTTACAGCAAATGACCTGGTTGCGTAGGCGTTTTTGCGGGTCTCACCAAGAATATATCACCTTTCAAACTGCAGAACATACCACGGTCCCAGTAATCCTTAGATTCAATTTACCAGGCCAGAAAATTAAGAAATTCAGCAAGAATATGCATAACATGCTACTCTCTCTCAAAGACCATCTTTATTCAGCACATACCCCGGAAACTCTCGAAAACCTCACAGATGCCATAATTGAAGGTATCCAGATAGCTGCAAGGAGTTGCTACTACAACAAAGTACGAGAAAACTACATTCACTTCACTGGTGGAGCGGTGACTTTAGGATCCAGCACAAGAAATGCCGGGCAATAAGAAGTAAATTAAAGCAAGAAAGGCAACAGGGCATTCAATCTAATACTCTCGTAATCTTCCAAAGAGAGAGAGACATTTATAAAAGATTAATTGCACAATCGAAGATTATAAACGAGCATCTCGTGTAATCTATATGGCATTCTTCTGTAGCACAAAATGGATTGACATGCGTACATAAATTCAGAATACTCAGCATATCTACTGTAATGTATAAAAGGATATTAACAGTAGTAAGCTTCGTATACATAATATGTGGACTAAAGTAGAATACATAGTATCGAAAGGATAATATCAAATGTATAATACAATGTATAGGATTGAACGCGACAAATTAACAGTTTATTTATTCTAACAAATGCATATATAACGCAACATATTATGAATTATTTATGCGTATTTAAACATAGAATTCTTAACATACCTATTGTTATGCATCAATGTGTATTAACAGTAGCAATTATCGTATCCATAATGATAACGGTAAAACAGATTTTATAATAATGAATGTATAGTATTGAAATTTACAGTATTGAATATATAGTATTAAATGTGTGTGTGTGTATTTAGTTATGGTAAAGCACACTAGGGCTATCTGCCTAAGGGGAGGGATGCCTTCGTGGAGGACTTTCTAAGGGAAACTGGCTCGTATACGCGTTACACATGGGGAAAACCACGAAAACACACATGCAGCCAACCCGTTTCGCGGGATTCGAACCTCGGACCGAACTACCAGTGTTCAGCGACTTTACCGCTCGGCCGCTGGTGTGCTATAGTATTAAATGTATTGTATTGAATTTGTAAAGGTGTCATCTTTGAATATATAAGGATTGTATATGGTATTAAACATATAATGCGTAGCATACCTATTGTAATGTAAAATATGTTATATAGAAAGTATCAGATGGAATGATAACAGTAAAGTAGAATTATAGTATGGAATGTTTAGAATGAATGTTTAAAATTAAATGTGTTTTCAACGAGAAGTATAGCTATAATGCCAACGGAAATAGTATAAAATAGGAGTATCAATGGTAAAACAAACAGAAAGTATAGCGCATCTATTAATCTCACGAATGAGTAACTAGTATAGTATGAATAGCACACCCACAACAAAGTAAAGTGTATTTAAATCATGTATATTTTACCTAATGTAAAAGTTCATGTTCTGTCTGTATCTGGATTTAATAATAAGGGATATCGCTGTAGTATATGTAATGTGTAATATATTTAATGCAATGCCAAGCTTACTTTATATAAGTAGTTTCTATGAATTTAGTTCACTATATTAATAAGCAAGTGTGTAGGTTGTAGCAAGTAGTTTGAAAAAGTTTGTAGTACGTAAATGATATACAGAGTAACTGTAATCGCAAGTGATATAGTATATCTAATGCAAAGTAATGTATATAAAGCTATGGTGCCTAAGTGGAGAGTAAACTGTAATCGCAAGTGTTCCTTATCTAACACAATGTAAAGTATCTAAATGACACAGTATTTGTGCACTTTTTTGTATGTACTTATGTTCTAGAGTTATTGATTTGATATGGTTTGAATGTGTTTGATGTAAAATTGGTATGTCGCAAACGCCCCTTTATGGCCATATTCTTGTGTTTCTCTTTCATTTCAATAGGTGCTGAGGGGATGGCAGCGAACCCCATAGGATGCTAATGATAATGCTGGACGTGGTGCTGTACTGATTAACCATTATGGTAAAGAAGCAGTGCCCGCGTCCTCCATCACTCCCTCACACACTCTGCCCAGGAACAGCGTGAATATGAGTTAATTTTTATTGGAAAAAGTTTTCACGAAGACATTCCTTCCTCGACAAATAAGCATTGTGGTTTTGCATGTATGAAAAACCACCACTCGAAGCGAATAAAACCATAACAAAACCAGTTGCTTGGTATGATTGCTCTATCATTCAATAAGAAACAGACATATTTTATAGTTTTAAATGAAAGTTGCGCAGGCAATAACAGGGAGGCAAAATAAGATATCACATTGAATGTTTATTTTACTGACATCAAATCACGTGACAGGCAATCAGCAAGTAGAGAGGGCAGAGCTATGTCTTCTCCAAGGGTCTAGATCGTTTCGTCGCCGCCATTCCACCGTGGCCGTTCCGCCGTTGGGACGTTTCGTCGACAGGACATTTCGCCGTCGGGGCATATATATCTTAACATGACTGTACTTTATCTTGCCGGATGATACTCGTATTAAATTTAATTAGTTTAATAATTCTGTTCACCTTTTGTATACTTAATAAAAGTTGCTTTTAATATATATAGTTATTTACAATTACGATGATATAAAGAAATTACACTTAGTTAGAAAATTATGTCAGTATCAAAGATAACTGCGGCTAAACTTTTGATATAACAGAAGTTGTACTATCGATTTTAAAATTACGCGGGTTAAATATTTACATGATTCGCCAAAATTTCTTAAAATTTTAATCGACTAGTTCAGAGAAATCACTCATACAAGCAGGAAATTCACATTTTTATGAAATCTGAATGGAAAACGAATTACTTTGGAATCTTGTCACCACCTTACTCTCTTAAAATTGCTGCGTAAGGTGTATTTGTATAAACGTACATAGCATTTATATATATTTTTTTATTAATTTATTATGTACACATTTTATATATTATTTTATATAAAATGTTTATTAAATTAAATTAAATTATTAAACTAAACAAAGTTATTAATTTAAATCCACTTAATATAATACGGCAAGACATAATACAGTCGTGTAAAGAAAAATATGTCTTGACGGCGAAACGACCCAACGGCGAAAAGGCAGCGTCAAAACGGCCACAGCGAAATGGCCACGGGGAATAGTCTTATTCCCTTCTCCAGAGAGTGTGGCGTCGGTACTGAAAGTGGGCTGTATCTTCTTGGGCTATTTTGAGTTATTCCACTAATTTATGCCAACAAACGTTTTCATGCGCCTTTTATTTTTGTAGTCATTACCAGTACACGTTTACTTCCAACTATAGCATTTTTTTAATAGTCATGGTTTGGCAATTTTATTTTCAGAAATAAATTTTCTGAAATACCTGAAGCTAATTTTTTATATAACTCGCAGTTCCGGTATCTACAGTAATAGTTTATACTTACAAAACATAACTACTGGAAGCGGGGGAAAACTAAATGTAAATAAGTAGATTCCCTTGCGACAAATTTTATCGACTGCTATTTAATTATTGATATTCAGTTTTAAAATAATGTTTGATAATCAGTTTCACAATTTGTTATTTTTATCATGCTTCTCGATTCTTGTTGAGGAATAGGTTGAAAAATAACAAACATAATTTTAAACACACTGTAAAAATATTATATAATTTATTTCACATGTATGTAAATTTTAGGGCTTTGAGTAAAAGGATTTATTGAAAAATGCAAACTGAGAAAACGCAGCTTAAGTAATGTGAACTCTCTAAATGGCCAGTAAATCATTTAAAGTTTCTTAAATATTTTACTATTGAATTTCAATGCATATATATCTAAAATAAAATCTATTACTATTCAATTGGTTAGTATAAACATGAAGTACAAGCTTTTATTTGAAAATTTATCTGACCGAAAATAATGCAAATTATCATAAAATGCAAGCAAAATTTTTATTTACAGGTTTTTTTGTATAATACATTCAAATCTATTTTAACATATGGAATTAATTATAACATATTTAAAAATATATAATTGATATTAATAATATTAATTTCTTGCTTTATTCATTGTTTCAAAATGCAAAATTTGAAAATTCAGCAGACCTACATTTTACTTAAAACCGCTTAGCAGCTTATGTGATTTATTCTTTTCCTTTAGCCATTAGGTCTCGTATATAAATTACATTTTAATCAATTTAGGAATATTTTAATTAATAAAAGAATTTAATATTTAATCCAACTCGACTTTTAATATTTCTATACTTAGGAACTTGGTCACTTTCATTCCCCCACCTCTTTCTGTTTATGCCTTTTTACAAATAATTTCAGTTTTTGAAGAAGCATAGAGAAATTGACTGATAATGCACATAGAAATATTTGCTGAGCTCAGATCAAAAAGGAAAAAGAAGGGAGAGAGGACCATGCCGGTTAAAAAATGATTTTTTTTTTTTTTTTAAATTTCCAAACTTCACTAAACACTTAAGTCAGTTTATGCTTACTATAAAGAGAGCTTGATAATACCAGCAGTTGCATCTAATTGAACTCCTTTTCTGCTGCACTAACTATTAATAAGTAACTGAAAAAAAATTAAGAAGTAAAAGAAAATAAACCCTGAGGTGGGTGTGACATTTTAAGGGATGTCAAAATTTTTTAGATCTTTTTTAAAAGCGTTATTACCGTCAGATCTTTTCAAAATTTATTTTCAATGTAGTAAGCGTATAAAAGTACTGTTACAAAAAGCCCAGCTTCGGTGAGATAGCTTCTCCGCAAAGCGGGGTTAGGGTTTCTAGAAAGGGGCAGCGTTGCCACATGTAGCGCGAAACCGCGCATTTGGCGAAATGTGGCGGCAAAATTGGCGATATGCCATAGAAGGAGCAAGAACATTCTGGAAATCATTACTAGCAGTTTTCTCGGGAATATTCCCGAAGGTAGGTTAAAGCTATATATACCCTGCCTTACGCCGAGAAAGTAGTAGTATCTTGTGTTCAGAGATTAGCTTGAGAGCGATTGACGGAGAAGGACGTGAGACGTCTGATATACTTGAATTTGCAATTGTCCTTTAATCAAGCAGTATACATATTTAATAGAAGAAATTGTATCAATTGACATAAATATTATACTCCTGAATATAACACAGGTAGTCTTATATTGATAATCTACTCTTAGGTATTTTTTATAAAACTAGCTATCTTAAAAACTAAAAATGAATGAAGTACCTGTAAACTTTTAATTAATTGTGTTACTAAATCATGTCAATCCAGTTAACACATTTACAACGTAAATAAAACAAATTGTAGGGATTATTTTAATTTCCTAATAGTTATTTTTAATTTTGAAATAATTTCGTTTATTCTCTTGTTTCCCGCTTACCCTACCAGAATGAGTTTTCAGGATTGTTTTTCATGTAAATCAGGTAGAACCAGTAATTTTGGGGAAGTTCTGTCACTTCCGTAGAAGAGCTCAGAAGTCCTTAGTAGAGCGTGTTCCGCCTTCGGGCCACGTCATTGCTTTAAGCCTATCTTACTACGGTCGGCCATAGTCATACGTGCCTGGTAGTATTCTACGGTGAGGTTTAATTACCGGCCAACTTTTTTTTTTTTTTTGTATTGTATCGGTTATGTGCTGATTAATATTAACTGCATTGTCATATACGGAATTGTTCTATACTGAATTGGTAACGCATTTATAGTTTACTGCCCTTATACTTACTCATATTTCTATTACTCACATGCACTCATATCTTTGATTTGTATTTGTTATGTACCCAGCATTACTTTATCCTCCCTAATGTACTCTGCCTATTTTATATTAATTTTGATTCAGATTAGTATTATTGATGTCATTAAACTAGAATAGGGCTATTCTGTCTTATCGTGATGCCCTTACTTATACACCCTTCTGTGTTCTGTACTCATTTTCCTGTAACTTGCTTTTATTGAATCTTGTAATGTGTACCTCTTATTGTTAATTTTACAATCCGTGATATTTATTAGTACTTTACTCATTGTATCTCTCTATGCCCTTGTTTGGCCATGTAAATATTCTGTATAAATCTGACCGCTGGGGGACGGGATGGGTCCCTATAGGCCTTTGGTTCGTTGAACTGCCCTGGGTGGATCCGGCGTTGGCTTGGTCTCTGTGCCGGCTCTCGGTGGCCTCTTTGGCTGCTCTAATCTTGGGGGGGGGGGCGGTGCTGAACTGATTCACCCTATGGTAAAGGTACAGTGCTCGCGTCTCCCGTCAATGGAATGGAATGGAATTACCGGCCAACTCGGTTAGTTATTCCTGTGCAACTTCGTCTAAATTTTAGTTAGTTTAGTTTCTTGTTTTTTAACTTTAGCCCAAGTGGAGGCTTTCCTGTAAGCCCGAGAGGGGGCAACTTTCAAATATTCCTTTGAGTGAATAAAAGGGTAATTTCACTCTTCTTTGGACTTCGTTTCTGTAGCTCTAAGAAGACTAACGAATAATCGCTATTCTCTTCTCCAAGGTTTCTAGTTGTTGCATAGACACATAATTTAACTAGAACTTTATAAATTGTTTTTCAGATAATGACACCTATTTATATCTGATATATTACTTCTAAAAGTAATAAATTAAAATAATATTTAAGAATAAAAGTCAGTGATAGATATACCCAGTATTAATTCAGAGATTATTTATTTATATTTGTGCAATGTTACAAAACTTTTTTATAAGATATAATACAAATTATTAGTTGACGCATAATCGCCAAAATCTACAACGCAAAAATTTCGAAAAATGTACACCAAATTAAATATTAATTCTATGGCAAATAAATAATCCACTAAAACGCTATGAATATAAATTAAATATAACATTATCTGGAAATCGTTTTCTTTATTTAGTATCTGCTTTTTTATCAGTTGCTAAATAAATCAAACACAACAGCTTATTTATATTATGTTATAAAATTTTGCATTATTTAATAATCCACTCTAAACATCTAGATGTTACCCCGTCATCTTGATCGTTAGGAATCAAAACTTGGCGGATATTTTGCGGTTGTGCCAATCATCTGTCAAGTGCTTCCCAGAGCGCCCGAAATAATCTTTTAAAGGAAGATGAAGCGAAAATTCTGCAGAAAGAAAATTCGACAGTTATCTAGAAACGGGAAATGAATGACACTTCTCATTCGTCATGTCCCTTACGATCTCGTATTTTTCTCTACAAAAAT